TTCCTGGGTCACATAACCCTTAAAGCCTACCTATCTCCAGAAATGGAGGTCTCAGCCCACCCTCCCCTCTCACGGATGAGAACACTGAGGCACAGGCTTGGGGGGTTGGGCTGGGGAGATGCTAGGTCACTATGGTCTTTCCACCACAATGTGCTACCTTAAGAAAAATATGTGATTCCGAAGCTGGTACCTGAAGGGCCCGTCTCCTTAGCAACAGAACAACTGCACAGCTGGCAAGCCAGTGCTTGTGGGTTAAAGATCATCAACAGACAGTCACTGCATGTTTACAGTAGTCAGAGAACTGTGCCAATCATGGCAGAGAGTTTGGGGAAAAAATGACATAAACCCACAAAATGTTTAAAATCCAGTTTGAAAAGCAATGCATTTAAGCACTCGTTAAAATAGATATAAGCCCAGCTGGCGTGGCTCAGCGGCTGAGCATCGACCTATGAACCAGGAGGTCACGCTTCGATTCCCCGTTGGGGCACATGCCCGGGTTGCGGGCTTGATCCCCATAGGGCAGTGATCGGCAAACCTCGGCTTTCGAGCCACATGCGGCTCTCTGGCCCCTTGAGTGTGGCTCTTCCACAAAATACCATGTGAGGGTGCGCATGTACAGTGCGAAGTTGACTTAAAACTTTAAGTAAAGTTTATTAAGTTAATTTTAGGGAACGTTGTGGAGTGAAAGAAGATGTAGTGTCGAGGATTGAGAAAGGTATGTTGAGATGGTTTGGACATATAGAGAGGATGAACGAAAGGAGATAGACGAAACAAGTATCCAAGACGAGTGTGGATGGGAGAGTTGGAAGGGGTCAACCTCAGCGAACGTACCTCAATCAGATTGAGGACGTTTTTAGCAAAGGCCAGCTTAGGAGTACCCTAATTAAGTTCATAACAATGTACCTACCTATATAGTTTAAGTTTAAAAAATTTGGCTCTCAAAAGAAATGTCAATCGTTGTACTGTTGATATTTGGCTCTGTTGACTAATGAGTTTGCCGACCATTGCCATAGGGGGCGTGCAGGAGGCAGCTGATCAATGATACTCATCATGGATGTTTCTAACTCTCTCCCACTCCCTTCCTCTCTGAAATCAGTAAAAATATATTTAAAAAAACTATAAAAGTAACTCTTTCTTAAAACATGATTTTCACGTTTTCTTTCTCAGTGTCTCCTATTTGAGAACCAAGCCTCCAGAGCCTTGTGGTGTGAGGACTGCGGTGCCCTTTCCTTTCTACCTCACATACTAGCTACTCTTCCATTTGCTTTGTTGGTGCCATATTGTGTTGTTGCTGTTTCCTCCATGGTGTCGTTAGGAGCTCCTGAGAGTCCCCAACCCTGACCCCCATGTGGAAAAGCCGGTGGTGGTTCTTTTTCTCCCACAAGGCTCCCGTGGCCGTGGATTCTAGGGGTCACCCTGAACCCCTGGAGGACAGGAATGCAGATGCACAAACACACTGACTTCCTAGTCTTGGGAATTCAACCCAGAGGTTGACTGAGATCAAGAACTCAAGTATTGAGCAACAGTAGGTGTCATTCTATGGTTACGATGTCACAATGGGTTTGGAATCAGGAAAATGCGAATGAGTGAAGGTTTTTTTGTTTTAAACAAATAGTGTTAGATTTTCTCTTCTTTTCTTAAATGAATCTTTACTGTTGAAAGTATTACAGATTAGCATTAGCTTTTCTTAAAGAAAAGTATGTGAGAAAGAAAATCTAACAGCTTGGTATCACAGCAAGCAACATCATGAAAGAAAAATGATTTTTCATAAATAATTTACTTTAAAAAATTATTAGCAGGGAAGTAAGAGGGAGGGGTTTGGAGCTAGATCGCCTGAGTGTGAATTCTAGCTTTGACATTTCCGGAAAGGTGACCTTGGGTATGTTACTTATTTGTGTCTCGGCTTCTGCCTTTGTGAAATAAAGAGATGATGGTGTTTACAAGAACGGGTTATTGTAAATATTAAATGAGTTCATACTCTTTAACTGCTTAGAAGAATGCCTGGTATAGAGAAATCCCTCCATACACTGACGCTGGTATTTTTATTATTTCTCCATACATCAAAGGCAATAATCTGATTTCACTAGAAAACTTCACAAAATATCAGGCTGCTGATGTAGGTTGAGTTTGACACCTGGGAAATGTATCCTAATGCTTCATGTCATTGTTAGCTTCACACACAACTCTGCTCCGATTAAATTCTGTTCCAATGCAGGGCTCCTGCTGAGAGTGCTTTATGTCGCACCGAGGCAGAGAGAGAAAAATTCCACGGAGTCAGGCACTAATTCAAGATGAATGATTAAGTGCAAGAACATTGTCCCAAATATGAAGAACTAGAGGGAGGGGGCGGACCAGGTAGGAGAGAGCGTTTGTGCATAAGTCTGGAGAGGAGGAGGAGAAGGGGTGGGTGTTGATGGAAGAGGAGTCACCAGTAGGTAAGCAGTTGACATACAGAGGCAGGGCAGCTAATGGGATGTGAAATGTTCATGCAGAGAGTTTTATTTTATTTATTCTTGTTAATCTTCACCTGAGGACATTTTTTCCATTTATTTTTTAGAGAGAGTGGGAGGGAGAGGGAGAGGGAGAAGGAGAGGGAGAGGGAGAGGGAGAGGGAGAGGGAGAGGGAGGGAGGGAGGGAGAGAGAGAGAGAGAGAGAGAGAGAGAGAGAGACATTGATATGAGAGACACATCTAGATTGGTTGTCTCCCACATGGCGCCTGACAGGGATGAA